TGAAGCACCTTGGATAATCTCCAGAAATCAATTTAAAGGGTAATAAAATAAGTGCTGATGTAATATTTTCCCTATAACTATTACAAAAACACAAAATAAGCATAAATAAGTATTTATATTTGTGTACAAGCTGTTAAGATAGTCAAAAAGCCTGTGTTTTTATGGTTTTTAACAAAGTTTACTCAGACCATAATATTTGGGGTCACAAGTTTTTGCCATGGATATTTTGTGGGTCAGAAGATAAAAAGTTTGGGAACCACTGCTTTAAACTATTATAATAAACCCACAAAGCTTATGGATGTTTACAAAGTTTATGTACAAAAAAATTTTTCAAAATGATCTAGACGGAGATTTGCAAAAGAAGCCCAACCACCGCTACACACATCCTTATATTTGCATCAAACTGAGGACTTTGTATTGACTTCCATACATTTTTGTGACTGTATTTATGCCTAACCCAGACATTTTCCCTAAAAATTAACCGTTACTGGTCTATAGCTAGCCTGGCCTCTGCCTTCCTACGCAGTTCTGCTCAATTCTAGTTTCCCTTCACGGCTACTTGTACGAAGCAAAGCAAAGGACAAGGTGCTGGTTTTAACTGGGCTAGTCTATAGCTAACCTTAACCTGAACCAAAACTTAATTCACACCATACCTCTAAAGCTAACTAGTAAAGCACAGCAGAGCTGCAAACAAAGTGAGGACATTGAAGAGGTCCTCTCTTTATATCAAATACCTCACTTTGGTAGTAGCTACGGCGCAAATGGTCCTCACTCTGTGGTCAAAACAAGTACACACATCCTTACACATATACACAACTTACGAAATTTACACAATTTTACGAAATTTATGTAAAGTTATGAACAGACCGGGAGCAGAAAACAACACACAACAGCAGCTGGAACATCACTATCCCAGCCGGCCCAATTTATTCTTTGCATCTTTTGATGGCTTCATAAAATAACTGCAGTCACACACACACGCAGACTTTGTCTCTCTATCCTCATGGGGACTTTCCATTGACTTCCATTCATTTATTGGTCACTTCTATAGCCTAACCCTGAGCATTTACCCTAAAACTAACCACTCCAATACATTCCTGATGATAAATCTAGCTTAAACTAAATTCCTACCTTGGTCCTAAACCTAGCCCCCCCGCCCAAAATCAGCCTCCAAACTTGTGGGGACCATGAAAAGAGAGAGACTCGAAGAAAACAAGGAGTCAAATGAAAAATATCGACCTCATTTTACTTTATCATGGGATTAATTAGTTATTGCGTATTGCGACAGGCCTCATTATATCCTGAATGTCATTAAAAAATCCTTCATATCTCAACCTTGAACATGATGTTTGTCAGATCTTGCCTCTGGGTCGGAGGGAGATGACCGCCGTGGAGTTGATAAGAAGCCTTCATCTAGAGGCTGAGGAGCTCCGGAAGCAGAAGAAGAGGCAGAACGTGACTGGTCTCCACAAGTCAGTATCACCTCCTCCACACACTGTTACTGCTGAGTTAGAAATGTTACTGGCTCAGGTTAACATAGGATGATGCCACAGCAGACTTTTTTCAGTAGCTCTAAAGTTTAGCTTGTTATGCTAGACCCACATGCTTTTTCTCTGCTGGCATGTGTTCCTTTGCAGATACCTGCAACTTTTAGAAGGAAAGTCCCACTACCCATGTTTGGTGGATGCAGAGGGAGATGTGATTTCATTCCCACCCATCACAAACAGCGAGAAAACCAAAGTATGTGCATGTATTTTCTGACTGTTTACTGACAATCATATAAAATGTGTAGCCTCCATCTCTTCTGTGTCATTTGTCGCAATATAATTAAATGAATGACATCATTTTTTTTATGTTTAGATCAAAAAAACAACCACTGAGTTGTTCCTAGAGGTGACCAGTGCAACCAACCTGCAGACCTGTAAGGATGTGATGGATGCTTTGATTGCAGTAAGTGTCCCCTTTTTTAAAAAATTTGTTTTTCAAGTTTTGTCATTCTTGTAGCAAAATTAAATTTGGGGTTTTAAGCTTGGACGTGTTGAGCAGAAGCGTCAAATATCAGTTTGAGGTTCGACCTGTGGGTGGCAGTAGAGGAATATTCATAAGCGACTGTGAAAAGATTCATGTTTAGGTGATACATTTAGACAACGTAAGAAGTCGGTGTACTGTTGACTCACAAATTGGTACAGTATTTATTATTTGAATAAAATGTGTTCCATTTGGAGAGGTTTTCTAATGAGTAATAAAAAAATGTCCTGTTTTCTGAACAGAAAATGGCAGAGTTAAACAAATTCACCGCAGAGCATCAGGAGGAGGCGGGATCGGGTGGGGAAGGCGACAGCGCGCCACCAGAGCCCGCAGCCTCCGAAACCTCCGGCCAGCTCGTCGTCCAGCAGGTCCGAACCGTCGACCAGGACGGGAACCTGAAAGTTGTCTACCCGTCGAAGACGGACCTCTCCAAAGACATGGATAACCTGACTGTCGTTTGGTCGTAAATGCACTAATCTGTTCATGTTACTGGAAATTATTTTAAAATGTAACACTTGACATAAATCACTCCTCTTACTTTACAGAAGTGGACTTTATCACATCATTCTTTTAAGTGTTTGAATACAGATATTAAATAAAAACTAACACTTCCTGGAACTAAACACTTTTACTCCACATGTATTTTTTTATAGAAGTCTGTACAACACTACAATCTGTTAACAAATAAGCAAAAACATCATCAGCCCTGACCTTTGGGCAGTGTGTGATAAGATGATGCCATTTACTGAAAATGAAACTCAATGTCCAAAATGATCAATACCCTGCAACAGATAAGCCAGATGTGACGGGATTTAGAGGTTTGTCATCTCTTTAGATTTGTTACATCTTTCCTTAGATGTAGTGTCAAACAGAGTGTTTATGAAAATCCTTTTTTTCCCCTACAGAGTTGTTGCCACCGTTTGTTTTGGCCGAAGCTCTCATTTAGCTTGCAGAATCTGGTTTTAAATCAGAGCTTGTATTAAACTTCTCAAGGCCCTGTCACACTATGATGTTTTCGCAAACATGAAAAGTTTGGAGGCATCTACAGTGAAGATATTTGTCATTAAAGCTAACCATATTAAAAGTCAGTAACATTTATAGCTGTTATCTTACAATAAATCCATTTGTTCAGAGAAATTCCCTAGATTTAATTTACTTCCCCTCCAAGATTCATCAGAAACTTAACCAAAATATCTTACCCTGAACTGATGTTCAAGCTCCTTTAGTGCACAGTAACTCTATTTTAAGTAAATTAGTAAAACCAGTCGACACAAAACCACTGATTTTGAACCTTGTTTATTGGAAATAATGGAGGAATTGTGTGATTTTACACAGGCTGGTTTATTATGTCCTGGGGAACTGAAAAAAAGAAAAACAATTGTAATACATGTAAAGTAGTTAAAATGTAATTTTACATATCATTTGTCAGATTTAGACCATGATTGATAGTTTGATGTAAAATAAATCCTGTGTACTCACACTGACAGGCGTAAGCCACCTCCAGGTACTTAAAAGTTCCCTCACAGGGGTCTCCAAACACAGAGTTTGAGGCTTTGATGACACAACTGTTTTGCCCCTGGCAGCTGTGGAGAAACCAGATGAATTAACTTTTGTCTAACGTTTAGATCTTGCATTTTCAAGATGCTGCCTTCCTTAAAAGTAACATTGTGGTTCTATTAGCATCTATTACCTTTCAGCAACTTTGCTGTTGCTGGTAGGGCTTGAGCAGGCTGTGTTTTGGAGCTGAACATCTGGACGCCCAACGCTGCACGTGGTCTTGTCTCTGCGTCCATAATCAGCTCCGTAGACAGAGATGACCAGTCCTTCGACTGAGAATGAAAATAGGAATACAGATAAGTGTTTTGTTTAAAATGTAACAATATCTAAATAGGGGAGGGAGGAAAAAAATCAGTTCTTACCACACTGCAGGTGTGCCAAAGAGTGTTCACATGTTGCACGATGAACTGAAAAACAAACAGGTTTTGTGGTCATATTTTTCCTCTTCGTCTACATTTACAAAAAACACAACTTGTACTGACTAGCTGGGAGGCAGGTGTAGGTGGTCTGTAGGTACTTGGCAGTACCAACGCATGGATCAGATCCACCGAGGGTATCGGGGACCAGTTCACACACCTTTTTTCCGTTACATCTGCAGGAATAAGATACAGGATGACATTTATTTTAAAAACAGAACAACCCCTTTTTTATACAGCGGTAGGGCTGCAACTAACGATTATTTTAATAATCGATTAATCTGTTGATTATTTTTTCGATTAATCAGCCAAATCATTAAAACGCTTAATTGCATGAATATGAGTAGATATGAATTAAGTTAACACCTTAAGGATGCAATTTATTGATAATGAATTAATCTTAAGTTGATTTATTTTATAGATTGATTAACAATTAATTAATAAGCAGCCATTTAAAAAAAACGGAGTTTTCTCTTGAATCAAGAGGGTCTTCCCATAAAATGAAGGATTTTTTTAATCTCCTGAATTAAAAAACAGAAGCACATAAAACATATTTTAACAATTTATTTTGCCATTTGTATTAAATACTGACTGAAAAAATGTGTATTTCTCCTACAT